CAGAGAGGAGATCCGGTATAGGAATCTAGTTCTTTGATTTACTTTTTTTATTACATTGGATGCCATTTTGTCACAGGAGAGGTTTGCCTCAAGAATAGATCCTAGGTATGTAATTTCCTTCTTACTTGTGACAATAATGTCGCCCACTGCAACTGAGAAGTCGTCGGATTTGCTGAGATTATGTTTCGAACCGAAGAGAATGGACTCTGTTTTACCCAGGTGTAATGATAATTTATTATCGGCGAGCCAGGTGCAGATTCTGCCGAGCTCGGAGTTGAGGGTTTTTTCAACCTGCAATCTGTTCCTGTCAGAGACCAGCAGGGCTGAGTCGTCCGCGAAAAGGAACAAGTTGCAGTCACATGCTGATGACATGTCATTTACATAAATTAGGAACAGTAACGGACCTAATATGCTTCCTTGTGGAACACCACAGCTCACTGGGAGGGGGGGGGACAGAGTACCATTTACCTCCACCATCTGTTCTCTCCCCGCCAGGTAGGATTGCATCCAGCTCACCGATAGTTTATCAAAACCAATTGCTTTTAGCTTGTCAATCAGAATGGGGTGATTGACAGTGTCGAAAGCCTTTTGTAGGTCCAGCATCACCATGCCGCAGTACTTGCCCTTGTCCACCTCTTGTTTGATGTGGTTGCTCAAATAAAGAAGGCATGTGTCAGTGGAGTGGGATGTTCTAAAGCCAGATTGAAATTCATAGATTAGTTTCTTTTCCGCGAGGTACTTTTCGACCTGTTCATATACTATTTTTTCCCTGACTTTCGAGATAGAGGTAAGTATAGAAACAGGGCGGTAGTTGCCTGGGTCCAATTTGCTGCCCTTTTTGTGCAGGGGGGTTACTCTTGCAATTTTGAAGTCTTTGGGTACTTTTCCCTGTTTTATGGAGAGGTTAATTATGTGAGCTATGACTGGTGAGATGGCGGTTGCTGTGTCTCTGAGGAATTTGGAGGGGATATTGCCTGCTTTGTGCCACACACAGAACTTGAACGGTTGTAGTTCAAGATACCATCTAGTCACCCTGGCGTTCCGGTCCTTCATGGTCTGACTGGATCCACGTCAAGGCTCTATGGTCCGTCTGGAGGTTATATTCCCTCCCGAGTAGGTAGTACCTTAGGCTGTCCAATGCCCACTTGATTGCCAGACACTCCTTCTCGATGGTGGAGTACCGGGTTTCACGGGGCAGAAGTTTCCTGCTGAGATACAACACTGGACGTTCCTCTCCTGGTTCTCCCTGAGCCAGCACTGCACCAATGCCCACTCCAGAGGCATCCACCTGAACCAGGAAGCGTCTTTCGAAGTCAGGTCTCTGCAGTACCGGAGACGAGCACAGCTTTGGATAAAAGCGTCAGCTAAATGAAATGTAATGTAAGTGTAACGGAGTTAAAAATGTGTAGACATAATTATTAGTTATAAATTACGATTTATAATAGGTTGTGAATTTAATTTTTATGAGATTGTTTCCTTTTGATATTTTTGAGTTATGTTTCTGGTGGGAACACTTTCCCGTTGCACATCTTTTCCCATTTCGTGTATGTCATTTCCGCTTTCCCCTCACAGTGAAGTGATCACTGCTGAGGGTAAGCTATAGGCCTACTAGGAATTGTGTTATAGTTCATTACAATTTTGTGTGGTAAACCGGCTATTTAAGTTTATGAAAGTGACGTATGTTGTTAAGTGTCAATTTGGGTATATTATTAACCCGGTTTTGTTAAGTTTCCACCGTAAGAAATTGTATTTTTGAGTGATATCTACGGTGTGGTTTTGGCGGGAAATAGACGCGATCTGCGTCATTTTCTTTGTTTACATGTCAACACTTTCTGAGTTTTCTTTCTTTTCTTTTGTAAAGATGTGCAACGCGGATGTAAAGAGAATATAATTTTTTTTCTCAGTTATGTTTGTATTTTGCATTATTACTTAAAAATAAGATTTTCTTGGTCATTTAATCATTTCTCAATGTATAAATAAATACTAGAAGACATTGAAGTGATCACTACTGAGGATGTGCAACGCGGATGTAAAGAGAATATTATTTTGTTCTCAGAATAAATGCCAGAAAAGACACCCAGATGCTTTGCTGTCGTTTCCTGATCGATAACAGGTCGCTTACCGTTGTGACCCGTTACATAAGCCAACAAAAATATGTCATCACTAGGACGTGTAAACCTTCATATGTTTACCCGTGGGCTATTAACTGGAAACGTGTAAATCTTGCAAGCTTGTGTTAACCACAGACCTTATTTCAGGCATCAAACCAAAACACATTGAGAAGAGGGAACAAGAAGTGCTAAAATGCTAGCTCACTTCAGGTGTTTAGGTCTTTTCTAGCTACACGTTAACATAGCTATTCTCTGGGTGATTGTTAGTGATGTTCAGAAGGTGAGTCGGGTTTCCTTCACCTCATCTGTCTTTGTTTTCCCTCCACACACACGCCTGGTGTTGACCTTGGCTCTGAGCAGACCTGCTGCCTGACCTCACATGTCGAAAACCTTCCTGTCCGACTTAATGGATCGCTTTACGTTTCAGACGCTGAAAGGGAACAACAGTGGGGAGGAAAGAGGCAGCAGAGAAGAGAGGGGGGTTGAAGTTAAGACGAGATGAAAGACAACATTTTAACTTGTAGGCCGCGGGGAATGACAACAAACACGCAGTGAAACCGGATCTGCAGCAGAGGACATCTGTCAGCTTTCAACCGGGAAGCAGAGAGATTTATTTCAGCAGAAAACCGCAACAGGTAGTTTATATACGGAAGGCCGAGGGGACGCATAATAATCATTTCCTACTTCAACCAAAGCTTCTGTTGCTGTGTCACCACTGGGCGATCGTTCTGCAAATACATCCGTCGCGTCCTCATGGACTCTGTTCTGGAAAATATTGAGATCCAGTACATTTCCCCGTTGCGGGACAAAGGCATTCAGATTTTCTGATCAAAGTAGTAAGATTACTTTCGGATAAATAAAAGAATGCTTTAAAGCAGAGGTGGGAGAAGTACTCAGATCTGGTACCTGAGTAAAAGTAGAAGTACTCAGATCTGGTACCTGAGTAAAAGTAGAAGTACTCAGATCTTGTACTCGAGTAAAAGTATAAGTACTCAGATCTTGTGCTTGAGTAAAAGTAGAAGTACTCAGATCTTGTACTCGAGTAAAAGTAGAAGTACTCAGATCTGGTACCTGAGTAAAAGTAGAAGTACTCAGGTCTTGTACTTGAGTAAAAGTAGAAGTACTCAGATCTGGTACCTGAGTAAAAGTAGAAGTACTCAGATCTTGTGCTTGAGTAAAAGTAGAAGTATTCAGATCTTGTGCTTGAGTAAAAGTAGAAGTATTCAGATATTGTACTTGAGTAAAAGTAGAAGTACTCAGATCTTGTGCTTGAGTAAAAGTAGAAGTACTCAGGTCTTGTGCTTGAGTAAAAGTAGAAGTAGGGGAGACCAGGGACAGTTGCAACACTTTTTGGGTTTTTCCCCAATAAGTAAAAAACCATTTACAATAGGATAGCCATTTTGCTATATTATACATTATCAATATGTCAGCTACTGAAACAATGTATTTAAGATGTTTTTATGAAATAAGTACAGGTTGGAAAATGTATTTTTTTTTTTTTAAAACAACTGTTACAACTAGGGATGCATATCGTTGACTTTTTTACGATACCGATACCGATACTCAACCGATACATATCGTGATACTTTGAAAATGTATCATCCCACAATTACTCCCATGAAGCGCTTTACGATATAGTTAACATGTCAAATGAATGTTCAATTAAATTGTGGGACTTCTTGGACCTTTTAGTTCTGAACAAACAATGAAAAATACATTAAAAATATGAAGAAAACCGATTATGGAATATATTTTATAACACCCGCCATCAGGTGTGCCGCGTGAATAGCACATCTTGTCAATGCAAACAGACACCGTTATAATTCATGTTAAACCTGAGATTCGACTAGAGAACAAATAAATAATAGAATAAAGGTCATGAGATCTCGGCATTGCACAAACAAACAAATCTCATCTTTAAAATCAACATGCCTTCACTGGTGAGAGAAAACAAATCCCATCACAGTTCATTTGTGGGACTTTTACCTTTCTAGTATTGAACAAACAGAAATACATAAAATATGAAGGAAAACGATTATGCAATCTAATTTATAACACCCGCCATCACGGGCCACGGACTCAGGTCTTGTACTTGAGTAAAAGTAGAAGTACTCAGGTCTTGTACTTGAGTAAAAGTAGAAGTACTCAGGTCTTGTACTTGAGTAAAAGTAGAAGTACTCAGGTCTTGTACTTGAGTAAAAGTAGAAGTACTCAGATCTTGTGCTTGAGTAAAAGTAGAAGTACTCAGGTCTTGTACTTGAGTAAAAGTAGAAGTACTCAGATCTTGTACTTGAGTAAAAGTAGAAGTACTCAGGTCTTGTACTTGAGTAAAAGTAGAAGTACTCAGATCTTGTGCTTGAGTAAAAGTAGAAGTACTCAGGTCTTGTACTTGAGTAAAAGTAGAAGTACTCAGGTCTTGTACTTGAGTAAAAGTAGAAGTACTCAGGTCTTGTGTTTGAGTAAAAGTAGAAGTACTCAGGTCTTGTACTTGAGTAAAAGTAGAAGTACGAGAGTGTAGGAATACTCTGTTTCAGTAAAAGTCCTGCATTCAAAATGTTCCTCAAGTGAAAGTAGAAAAGTATTCTCATTAAAATATAGTGAAAGTAGCGACAGTAAAAGTAGTCGTTGTGCAGATTGGTTTATTTCAGAATAATATATATCATATGTTTTATAATAATTGATCATGAAAGTGTTCTCAAAGCTGGTGAAGGTGCAGCTAGTCTGAATGGCTTTGCATACTGAGTACTTCAAGTATGTTAGGTTTGATTACTTTTGTACAAATAAAAGTCCTGCATTCAAAATGTTCCTCAAGTGAAAGTAGAATCTGTAAAATGGTAAAAACAACACCACGATGTGAAAAGGATGAGCCAGAAAGAGGACAGACACGAGTTGATTCTTCACGCTTGGAGACCAGCACCAAGAGAAGACCCTGCTTCTGCGAGGAGCTGCCGGAGCGACTTTATTTACAGTTCACAAAATACAGGAGTCATCTTTAACAAGTTCCAGCGTTTCACATTAGTCGTCACCCGACAGAGTTCCTCTCTATTGCTCTGGTTCCCCTGCCAGGACACTTCACACGAGCAAATACACAATCCTCTTTTAATACTTTTCTGTGTACTCAAAGTAACCCGGGTTTCCTTTGATGCACCTTAGGGGAGCATCCTTCCTGTCGCTTCCTACCAGAATGTTGTAGCTAAAACCTTTTAGTTTTGTATTTTTCAGCATTCAAAACTTAGTATGTGTTTATCTGTATTTGCCTATATTTATATATATACACACATATATATATATATATATATATATATATATACACACACGCTATATATTATGTACAATTTCATCCTCTGTATGGCTTAAAAACGCAATATCGCATCTGAGGATATCTTTGTATTAGTTGTGCGTTGATGTACGGAGGATAACTGAAGGCATGTGTACAAGTCATGTTACTTCTCCATTTTAGAACTTATCGTCGTCCTCACAAATCATAAAGACGATCATATTAATTGCTCGGGTGCTGTGCGTTTAAAAAAATATATAATAAAACTAAACTGATCTTCTTCCAAAGCGTTTCATTAGTTCTGCCTTTAATTAGACATTATATTAGGTGAGTTGGAAGCAATGTTACTTTTAAATGAACAAATATTAACGCTTTCAACCAACCCTAATACAATACTTTAGAACATGTTAAATGTGATTAAATTCAGCCTTTCATTTATTTGAGTGAGTTTCCAAACACTTTCCTGTGTGACACTTCAAGTTTGTGGAGTTTTTACATTTCCTAAAGCAAGGGTTTTCATTTGAAAGAAGCACGGACTCTTTAGGGTGCAGCATTTCCTATAAAGCTGGTATGTTGTTTTAGAACACAAATCTAATTTAAACTTGTACCAGTGTGAGTGTGTGTGTGTGTGTGTGTGTGCATCATATACAATCTGCAGCAGAAACGTGTGTGTGTGGATTTGAAAGCGCCTGGTGCAAAGATGAGACACCACGACATCATTCAAAGAAACCTTAAAAACCACCTTAAAAATGTTATGAGAGTTTTGAGGTGAAATGGTCCGAGTCGCAGCACCACCTCCAGTCACTGCAACACACACATTCATCCACACACACACACACACACACACACACACACATGATTCCTCGTTTCCTTTCCTATGTTTCAGCTCCTGGTTTCTGTACACCAGCACACTTATTCAAACACACTTCCTATTTCTGATGTTAGAACTTCCTGTTTCCTCTCAGTTGTATAGCGCTGGTGTTGGGCGCCCCCTTGTGGTCAGAAGGTAATATGGTGTCATACTTTCAAGAGGTGCAACGTGTGCAGTTAAGAGCGTTGATGAAGAACTTTTGTTTCGTCTCTGAACCTAAAAACACTCGTAGTAACTGTACGTTTAAAATGCTGACCTCTCATACAGTGTAGGATGTAGGATAGAAAAATGCTCTCATTTCTACACAATACATTTGAAGTGAGTGTTAACACTTTCAAACAAAGCTCAAATCAGCATTTTAACCTTGTTTTGATCAAATCCAATGCACTTGAGTTCAGGGACGAATCAAAACTGCACTAAAACATGTCCTAATTAAGCTTTTCTATTACGGTGCGTTACCTTTTATGAATAATAAGCTTTTTGAAAGCCAATACAATGAGTTTGTCAAGTTGTTAAAGCATCAGAAGTGAATGGGGCTTGTTCAGGGAAACCCAGGACTTCCTGTGTGCCACTCGGAGACCCCTTTTAAACCATTGGGTGTTTTAAGGACATATCGCACACTAATAATGAAGTATTCCAGCTGCTTCTTTGCTTCTGAAAACGCTGAACAGATCTCAGAAAACAAATTAGGAGTGAGCTCGACGAATCTAAAACTCTGGAGCATTTGAAAGTTTAAACCTTATCGGTACAGTGCCATGACCCTCTGCTGTTCCCGATGTTTATTTATCTCCGTCTCCCCGCAGCCGTCTCTCGTGCTGCCGCTTGGTGATGATGTATTTGAAGAACTCGTAGACGGACCAGCTGATGGCGGTAGACGGTATCTGATAGATAATCCTCGCTTGGACGCCTTTGAAAAACGCTGGCACGCCTCCCATCCTGTACACAGTCCGACACGCCTCGGTCAAACCGGAGATATGCCGACTCCCAGCGGCCGTTCCCACCGCTGCTGTCGCTGCCTCTGCCTGTATCACGTGGATAGCCTGAGCTTCCTGCGTGTTGAGGAGGGTTTTACAGACGTCCAGAGGTGTGGTGACGGCGGCAGCGATGGCTCCAGCGAGAGCTCCGGACACCACGTGAGAGTAAGCGTTGTACTGTCTGTGGGGGTTCAGGAGCTCCTGCAGATACTCGTACGTCATGAAGTGAAGCGCCTGGAAGGGCACGTTCATGGTGAGCTGCGTGGTGTAGCTGCGGTAGAAAGCCGCCGGGCCGTCGTGTCTCCACAGGGAACCCATGCAGTGAAGAACGCCTCGATACGGAGAGTTAAACATCTGCATTCGCTGCTTCACAACTGCAGGGAGACGAGAGAATTAGAAACCTTAGCAGCAATTTGAAATGAAATAAACTAGTTCTAATAGTGGAGAACAGGGAGAGGGGAAATGTTATTTTGTTAAAACAATGCATCATATTTCTTTGGTGGATGTGTTGCAGTAACATGTGGAGCCACAGGTGAGTCTGTAGCTCCCCCTAGTGTCCAGATGGTGCAACAACACCCTCAGAGAATGATTCCATAAGTGTCTTTGTAGAAAAAGGTTATGAACGTCACTTGAAGAACACCAGCAGGATGTCTTTGATGTTTCTCACCTCAGGCCATAATCATTAGAATTGATTATTCTTATTAACTTTCTCTGTGCTTTTATTTAAGTAGTTGGTATGTAAGCTGAGATACACAGACATCTTGCTTCATGATTAAAGTGAGATTATTGTCACCCATGGAGAGATGGATGTTATATGCGCAGTAACTACTCTGGGACATTTGAGTACATATGCGGGTGTATGTTATGTCTGAATGTTTTAAAAAAAAAAAGACAATTCACGGTGCAGAACAGAGCAATAAGTAAAGCAGTGTTTTTACCTTCTGCTGGGTTCATGATGGCGTCGTGCAGCACGGTCGCCATGCAGCCCGCCGCTCCTACAGAGAATCAGTGGAGAGGAAGTTAGAGCCTGAAAAAACTCCTCCATCGTCACCGAAATGACATTCAGATTTTCATTTTGTGTATAAATGTATGCTTTTCTAACATCCAACACGTTTTTAAAAAATGAGGGAAGACTTGAAGAACTGTAGTAAACGAGCACATCAGCAAAACATCCATAATAGAATTTGTGAAGTACAATCGTAGTCTCATTTATCCAGTCGTTTCAAAACTTCCCATTTCCCTATAGTGAGGGTTGTTAGTGTCGCTGCATGGGAAGTAGTGAGCCTACAAACGGATAAATGACACTTGTATTTTACTGAACGAACAGATTGTTTATAAATGAATTATATATTTGTTTCAAGTTTCTTTCAGGCCACCAGTGCATTTACTGAGGAGACAGAGCGGTGCAAATGGTGCTGGGTCTGAGCCCCAGTATATGGGCCGTTAGCTTTGGGTCGCCAATAAAGTGATTATTTTAATGTAGTTTTGTTGTTGAACGCAACCGCGATTCCCTTCAAATTCATCAAGACTTTTCTCTGTTTTTGGATTCTCCCTTCACCACCGGAGAACAATAACGTTGTTTCAATATTCAAGGTACAACTGAGTACGTAACTGATACAAAAATAAAACATAACGTTGTAGGTATACAAGTATTTCTTTAAGCAAGTGCCATAAAAGTAGTTGCTTGCATTTTTTCGGATGTGTAATTAAGTAGATTAGTTTATACATAATTTAGAATCAGTAATATTTTTGTATATTAATTTGACACTGTTCACGGCTCAACGCCAACTTTTAAAAGTGGTTGCCAGCCTGGCAACCAGGAGCCAACACTGAAAATACGGTTGCCATTTTTAGTCACCTTATATTTTAAATAATTAAGATACTATACAGTTATACATCAACTTAATAATGAACATGTGACACACAAGAATGTTCAAATGCTTTTACAATAAGTAATTAACACAATTATTTGAAACTTAAAGAGCCTGTGACACGAGTCATCCAAACCCATCAATTTGAGTAAATATTGTCCCCTTGAAAACCGTTACTGAACTGATTTTGGATATTTGTACTTTGATAACCATTAATCTCCCCTTCAATGTTGACCATTTCCTGGATCTGCTCGGGGATTCTTCAAGTCCCGCCAAACTATGTGTGACGTCATTGCGGGCACAGCGCTCCAGCTGCACCGTTCAGGATCCCAGCATCTGCATGTAAACGCACGATGGCGCACACAGCAGCAAGCTCAGACAGCAATGACAGTTTAATTTTGAACGTGTCTGAGAGCTCATATGAAGCTGAAGGATCGCTTTATGTTGTATCTGTTAGAAGTTTAGGAATTAGGTGCGTCAATATGGGCGATCATACGGTCATGTAGCCAGTGGTGGAATGGGACTAAAAATCATCCCGGGACTCTCGACCGGCCCACTTCGGTACCGCTAGTAAGTTGTCAACGGGGGGAGTGGGGGATGTCAGGGGCGGCGGGTGCTGTAGATAGTAAATGTAAATATGTAAATATTTGTGTCACTGCATCCTGGTAAAATACAAATATAATGTCTGTGTCTTTGACATTAGCGCTGCTGCCACCTGTGCCCTGTGTACTACGAAGCCAGTTCAACAGACCCTGGATATGTTTGAGTAACAAACAAACTAACAACAACAAACTAACAAACGAGATCTCGCTAAGCGGTCCTACGACGCTGGTTATCAACTCGTAAATCAAGCCAGGGTTTCTCTCTCCAACTGAGAGCGCGTTCACGTGAAAGGGGCGGGGTTAGCTACATTTGACCAATCACAAACAGGGACAAGTGTACTGACAGCGCAGCGTCATACTTCATTAATGAAATGTAAACTAATATTAGACAAATATGAACTTTAAACATCCATGATGACTTAAACATATAATCCAGGATACAAGCCGCAGAGTTGCTGCAAGGTGAATACAGAACAACTGGTTACAAAATAACTACCGGGTGTTTGAAAGCGTATAGTTTTATGATATCACTGCCCCGTCTAAAACACGAGTGGATCTGACTTTAATTACATTTGACTCGAGTGTTTCGTCAACATAATGTGTTGCTTAAAATAATACTTCTGCATACAGTATGTGACACTGTAAGTGTTGCACGGCCAGATACGGCTCAGCTGACTCAGATAAGGAAATATATGATATATTATGATATTATATGATTGATGATCTGATTGATGATATGATATGAATGATAAGTGTGACACGTCGGCGTCTTCTCCGCATACGGCAGTTTAAACTGTATTTCCTTTATCCTGTAATATGACTTGAGAGATTTAAACTCCGCACACTGAGTTGATCTCTTTTCTATAGACGCCGGAGGCGGGCAGCGTCAGGTAAAAACAGTTATGTAGCCTTCCCAAACCTGAGCCTCACGCGCCGCCTATGGGGGATGTGCTAGTGACTTATCCGACCGGCCCACTTTGGTACCGGCCCATCGGGATTCGTCCCGATGGCCAGTCCGCCACTGCACCCAGCCCACGTAAACTGTCAACGGGGGGAGCCTCGCTGCGGGGAAACGGTGGACCTAGTGTCCCGATCGGAGTGGGAATAATAATAATAATAATCCGTGCATTTTATCCATTAATTTCCCCAACATTGTGGTGAAAAAACCACACGTTTAATCCGTGTTGGTGTACTACAACTACAAAAAGCATCGGTTTGTTTTCTCATCAGGAAATGCAGACCGGCTCAAACAAACGATTTTTAATCATCATTCTCACGATCATTTAATGTATCATATGTTCGCCGAATTGACATGAAAGCACTAATAAATGTAGTTTCATCCACTTGAGTTTACAACTACAAAAATAATCTATTTGTTTTTATATCACATCCTACGGGAGGAAATTCAGCAGCTCTCACTATCGATTTGTAATCCTAATGTAATCATCATCTTCACCACGATAATTGATGTCTATGTTCGCCGAATTGACATGAAAGCACTGACAAATATGAATATACTGTAGTCAACTTCATTAAAACGTTATTAACGTGCCTAAACTCAGTAATCCACCATTTCTACGCATGACAACACACTTTGTCCGTGTTTGGCTCTCTCGCCGCACAGTGAAGCGTTCCCGCATTGACGTCACTTCCGGCTTCCCCCAAAACTTCAAAATGAGTCGAAGGAATTTCTCGCGATGTTCGAAATTATTGATATTTATCGGAACGGTATCCCACCTTCTTTTTTAAGCTGACTGTTCGAGATTACTATAGCCCAATATTTCATTGCACAACAGTTGTTGGGAGGCTGTCACAGGCTCTTTAAGTGGTAGTAAACTTGTCCGCCCTCAATTGCTGGTATACAAAATACCAGTAGTGCAGCTGTCGTCATGTTCTTCACAGATCACTAGTTTCTTGGTCATCCGTTGTCTCCCTTTCAAATGTGGGTTTTCTTGACCTTTGTGCGGACCCCCACCATAGATCCACTGGCCCTTCAGCATTGAAGTCTTGGATTGGCCAGACTCATACATTTCTAATGTTAAATAAATGAAAACCATTCACAGTTAAGAATTAGATATTAATTATTAATGCTGTAAATTACCTTTAATATGTCTAACTGTATTTATAGAAGTAATTGTATTTTTATGCCAATATTTTCCGATGGTAAAGTTTCGTTTTGCACTTTTATTTTGGTAGTAATAAGATCGGGACTCTTATTTTGAAGGAACTTTTACCAGAAGTGAATGCACATATATATTTCGCTTCCCAAGACTTTACACATTTCCTCTTTGCTTTTCGTTCGGGTTCACCTTACGCTTTATCAGTTGAATCACTTTGAACATTCGTTTGAGAAGTTGACGGGTTGGCTGAACTTTTTACCGCACAGTCAAACAACTTAATTTGCTTCGCCATTTTTTGTAAAACAAACACACGGCGCACCACGCACGCGAGTAAACGTGGTTTCGACTGGTCACAACAATAATTAAATATCACTCTTAATACAACAAATAATGAACATTTATCTATTTTGGGGTGCACATTTTGCTGTCCTTATTTCTTTATGTTAAAAAGTGGTTGCCACTGATGGCGGTGGTTGACATGTTTTCTGAATGGTTGCCAATGGCAACCGTTACTGTCGAGCCCTGCTGTTACATTTTTGTTTTACGCATTCGAAATAAATCAAAATCAAATCATTTTAGGGGTAGGTTATGCAAAATTTGAGCACGAATGAACATTTTAGTTTTGTTGGTAGCCGCCTGATCTCTCCGTCTGTACACACAAACTGAAAGACTAATAAAGTTGACTTTGACTCACCGTTAGCGAAGTGGCTGTTGGCTCCGGGGTGAATGGCGTCGCTGAGCGAGAGCTTGATCTTCTCGTAGCAGGCGAAGTAGAGAGCGTGCGCAGGCCCCGCCCCCACGGCCAGCACGTTCACGCCTCTGATTGGCCGCCACACGCCCTCCGTCTGCACGATCTGCCGCAGCGCGTCCATCACGTTCCTGTAGCGAGCGCCGGGCTCCGGGTGGAGGCTCTGCATCCGAGTCTGAAGAGAGAGAGGGGGGGACAGAGAGACATTAATACATTTGATATTGACCTCAACTTGATGAATCGTTTCTTGTAAACTAGGCATTGCATGAAATACAAATATATTTTGTTATGTTATTTTTATTATTACAATTTTTTATTAGTGTGTGCTAGGGCTGTACACGAATATTCGTTCGTTGGAGTACTATTCGGGTTTCAATTACGTTATTCGGATATTCTTATTTTGCGGCTGCCAAATTGAATTGATTGAAATCTCCAATATCAACGTAAGAGCTTGTGCCTCTTCGGGGGGGTGCTAACACTTAACCATAAACGTTATCGTTTACTTTCTCCGTCTTTATATGTAGATATTACTTTTTCTCCGTTAATCTCCGTCACGTTGTTTCCATAGCATCAACAACTTCCTGTCAACAGCGCTAACTCTCCTTCAAAATAAAAGCATGTCCATACAAAATAGGAAGCCAAGCCAAATTACACTTAAAACACAACTGCAACGAAAGTAACAAACACAATGCAATATCCTTTTCAATTTCAAAGAACACAAATTGGGTTGCATTTAAAAAATAACTATAAAACAACAATACTGTAGAATAACAAAATGAATGCCGTGAATACACCAAAATACACATGTTGAAGCGGTTCGCTGCTGATTACAAACCACGAGTGAGGACACAGTGGTGCAGACAGGAAATGGAACAAAATGAACCGCAGCCTACCACTTGCATTCAGACTCTGTATCTTAGGAGAGTGAAAAACCTGTTAAAGGTGGGCTAGGCGATTCACTTCAGAAACACTTGTTCTAAAGCATCCCGATAGCAATGAATATAATAAATGCTTTGACAATAAATACATTAAAACATGTCCAGTGTTTCCCCATTATTGTTATTGATTAATGCATCAGTGTTTCTTAGGGTCAAAAACACTAAACTCACAACTTAAAATTAAAGCGTTTAGTTTATTTAATAAAAGAGCACAGGTTCAATGTGAAAAGTGACAGATATAGATTAGTTGCAATATATAATAAAACATTTTTTTTTTTTTTTAACACCTTGAATTTCAGGGGGGGCGCAGTTGATGGGGCGCAGTTGACAAGACAATGGTAGGGGAAACACTGCAATGTCATCTGTGGAAGCTGTGGCGCTGTGAAAAGCACGACCAATCATCTGAGCCGGCTAAAGTAACTGGATGGCCTACCTGCCTGTCAGCCTTCCATCTGGGCACAAACTCATCTCGTGCCCTCATTGGTCATGTGCGCGTTCGTGTGTGTTGGAGGAGGGGCTCTGTAAGGAAGTGGCAGATTTGTTCCGGCTGTGTATTTTCAAATTCTAGCGCACTCATGCTGGTTTCTCCATTCTTACCTACCCCACCTTTAAGGTTAGATTCAGTGGTGTAAAGTAACTAAGTACATTTACTCAAGCAAACATTTTGAGGTACTTTACTTGAGCATTTCCATTTCCTGCTACCGTGTACTTTTACTCCACTAAAGCTATTTAATACGGCATACAAAGTCATTCAAATTAGCTGCGCCTTTGATAACACTTTAATGATCAATAATTATAAAACATGATATATATTATTCTGAAATGGGCCAATCTGCATAATTAGTACTTTTAGCACTTTAAGTATATCTTGATGCCAATCATTTTACTTAAGTAGCATTTTGATTACAGGACTTTTACTGAGTATTTTTACACTGTGGTACATCTACTTTAACTTAAGTATAAGACCCGAGTACTTATTTCACCCTTAGATTTATGATTCCACGTCTCGGTTATCTAATGCATAACGACCGTCATTGAATCTGTGCATGACTGTACAAAGATTGCGCAATCCTCAAACTTCTCATCACATGCAATGAGGGAAAAGCCCCGGCCTCCACCTCCACCCACCCCCCCCTCAGGGTAACATTCAGTATTTAGAGCGCAGGTGGCTTTTCCCGTTTCTGGGAAATGGAAACTCATTCACAATGTGAGCAGTGGGGGTTTGTTTGTGTCTCCTAGTGCCAAGATAGAGCTTTAGAAGGGAGTCAACAATGCAAATTAATCCTATTGAATGTCATTTATGGTAGAAAGCTGTACAGTATGTTGTAACATCTTACGTAAACGGAGAATCAAGAGTCCTGCGAGAAATACAATGTTTTTTTTCTAGAAATCAAGGTAACACAGAGGGGAGTAATTAGTGTGGAAATGGACATATTTTGCTCCGTGTGTTAACTCATGTTCAATGTCATTTTGTCGGTGTAGTTTGGTATGGATTCATCTCATTTCACTGGATGCTGTGACCCTAACCTTATTCATTTAGAGAAAGATTAAGTCATATTATGTTAACTTTTGTGATAGCTAAAAGTCAAGCTTTTCAGCAATTTCTGTAATAAATGTTATATTTATTTCTAAATTAAGCTCCATCTATATTATCGTGATATAAACACACTTGTCACAGTGCACAGTATTTCTCTCCATGTGGAAACCACCCAGATTTATTTAAGTTATAATACACTTTTGCATTTCTTTAAGTTAAACAAATAATATTGGTGCAATAGAAGTCACTTGTTGCACACGAGAGGTACATTACACACTTCTTTAACCGTGTGAGGAGTTTTCATTTATCTAAATGTGTGGGATTTACTCTGACAAGCATATATGAGACTTATTAGGCCTATAAAGTTCAGCCCAAAAAGGAATCAGGTCTCAATATATGAATACTAACACGGAGGGTTATGTGTCCATGTTGCTTTCATCAAAACAAAGAAGTAGGGCTGTGCAATTAATCGTATTTTAATCGGCACATTGCAGAATACAACCTCTTTGGACCATTTATATACTTATTGATACAAGCTACAAAATGTAAGACCTTGGAAAATGCCGTTTAATACTTTTTAATAGCTTTCATTTTCGCTAAATTGATTTATCAACTTTTAATACCCTGGAAATTGAAAATCTAGTGATAAATAAGATTTCATTATCTTCAGTGACTGAAGCTATGGATGTTTTCCTTTAGTTACCAGACAACACAGTGCCTTTTATTTTAGGAAAGTCTGAGAAATTAAACATCCGCATAGCAATCACAATCAGGGGTAGACATTAAGGGTAAAAAGCCACTGGCCCTCCGGGCCGGTGGAATTGTATTATCACTGGCCCCACCATTGTAACCACTGGCCCGGAGCATTCGTCCAAAAAAAAAATCGACTAATAATGAAGAAAATGAACACATTTGTTGCAATAGTAATGTATGCACTAACTACATCACTACTTGTACAACAACATTTGAACAATCAGTTCTTCCTCATTTTCCTCAATTGTTCATATTTGGTTTATTAAAATAATGATATTGTGGTCATTGTTAAAAAATGTCTGCTATTATTATTATGAGTATTATTATTTGTATAATGCGCTTTCTGCCTTCCTGTCATCAGGAGTTAGAAATGTAATGGCTATAGATTAGATCAGATTAGATCCTTCATTCTCCTAAACTGCTGGGACATTTCCCTATAGCCAATACCTTTATATTGTCTACTCTTCACTTACTTGTCAGCATAGGTCAGCATTGATGTAGAGCCGACAGAAGACCTTGTTTATATTGGCATCATATTGAGAGGTGCAGTGACGCGTCCTAAAACCAGGAAGTAAGCTGCTGGTTCCCTCGACAAAAAGCAATGGGATTTCTCCACAGGGTTTTGGAAAATAGCTGGAACTAAGGTCTGTGGAAAACAAACCTGTTTGATAAATGCACGTTTTGTTCAGCTGGATAATCTTCACATGTCTACCCTACTTTTATAATGTTCGAATCATAAATCTAATCGATAGATTATAAAAAGGGTTTTAGGACGCGTCACTGCACCACTCTATAGAAGCCAACTCCATCGATCAAGCTGGCTGAAACGTTCTCTCCCTCTTCTTCTCATGCTCCCTGTCACTCTCCTTTAACTCCTCCGGTGACTTTCTTTTATTTGAAGATTGTTTTTTGCACGGCGCTTGGCCGGTTACCGCTGGTATTAAAAACATTTTTGGCGAATGGTTAGGCGGCGCGATAGTCTGTAGTGAAGGAGCGCGCTCACGGGAGCCTGCTCGCCCTGCGCAGCAAACAGCTGTTTGCTTTTCACCCAACAACGACAAGCGACTCACGAAACGCTATGTTGTAGCGTTAATAAACGAAACAATCTAACTAAATTGCTAGTCAAAATACCAATACCACAGGAAACAATTTTTTTTAAACAATATTTTTAGTGGCCCGAGCGGGCAAGTGGAAAGTACGTTATGCTGGCCCGGGGTGTCTAAATAGTGCTTCCGGGCCAGCGGGCCAATTATAATGTCGAGCCCTGGCAATATACAAAGTGTTATATTCAGGGTTCTTACACCTTTTCCAAAGTCAAATTCAAGCACTTTTCAAGCATTTTCAAGGTGCATTTTCCAGCTTTTCCAGCATCTTACAGCTGTTGTAAGTTACATATTTATATACACATACTCAAATGATTATGTCCCTACCTCACATTAAATCAGATGTTCTTTATGCTATAAACAAACAAATGTGTGTTTCGTGATAGCCTTCTACACGAGGATGAACAATTAAAGAAAAGAAAACTAAGTTTAATATTTCAAACTGAGTGACCCATCTGTATGTCCCATATAACCTGTCTGAGCCAATATAAAACTATCAGCCAAATAACGTTTCAATACATTATTGATTACTATTTTTGAGGTACTTTTAGGTTGGCAGTAAACACAAGTCAGAGGTACATGGTGTACTTCTACTCCACAACAGTTCAGAGGTACATGGTGTACTTCTACTCCACAACAGTTCAGAGGTACATGGTGTACTTCTACTCCACAACAGTTCAGAGGTACATGGTGTACTTCTACTCCACAACAGTTCAGAGGTACATGGTGTACTTCTACTCCACTACAGTTCAGAGGTACATGGTGTACTTCTACTCCACTACAGTTCAGAGGTACATGGTGTACTTCTACTCCACAACAGTTCAGAGGTACATGGTGTACTTCT